TCTCAGCCTAAGTTCATAGAATGTTGGGCACTTAGGTGGAAACTCCAGCAAAATCAAATTTCCTATAGTTCGAGAGGGGCAAGTACATGGAGCAATTAATCAACAGGCTGAGTAGTAACCAGTTAGCATTCAGCCAAGAAGCACTGGATGTGACCTAAACAGCTTGCTGTTAATTGATGCCACTTCACAATAGGACTGTGTAATTTGGAGTCCAAAAATCTGTGGAGAAATTCAGATGGGCATGATTTCTGGGCATCCTATTTTGATGAATGCCACAGTAATTTAGGCTGTTGTAAATGCCTCCCTTCATCTTAATGTAGAAGGAGAAGGGAAGCTTTATTCCACCCACCCACCCCTGTCCCTCACAAAGGACATGGAGAGAGAATTATCCTGAATTTTACAACATGGCGCAAATTAAAAGAAAAGAGAAATACACTGTTGCTAAAGCCCAGAACCATTTTCTTCGAAGCTGATCTATCTGTGCAGGAACGAAATTAATCACAAGGCACTTTTGTCCACAGATTTCCATATATTAGAGCTGGGGCTGCTGCCAGCCTTCCCAACTGTCACAAAACAGGCCTGCTTCCAAGAGGCAGAAGTGAACACTGGGCAGGCTACAAGCGCACAGCTTGGGTAGCTATTTCAGACATCAGAGTCACCCGCACTTAGTCATTGTACGTGGAAGACGCCTGATAAAGAGTGCTAATAAAAGTAAGCCGTCAGGTACAGAAGTACACGTGCGCGTGAAATGCATACCAAAGAATCATTAGTAAGATTGCTCATTAGCAACCCGTGTGTGTCATCTGATGTATATTTCTGCTTTCTGTTGAGCTAGGTGTGGGTGTATTATATGCCCATGTGGGGAAAATTAGAAACTCTTCTTAGATTTCGTATTCCGCCCAAGTTTTTCTAGACTGTTCTGCACAGGTGTGTGTGGAACCGACATATGTCTTTTCTGGGGATAGGGGGGAATAGAAGGAAAAATACTAATCAGCTTTTTCTATACCCTTTGAAGTGTGGAGAAGGAATTGCTGTCTTTCTGAAGGAAAATGGAATTAGTGCCAGAACTCTCTATTAAACCTCAGGCCAAATCTGTACTGATTAGGCAAAGAGCAGAGATAGAACTATGACTTCTCTTTGAGGTAGAGGGGGGAACAGTTTAGCCCAGCGGTTCTATTACAAGATTGGGTGGTGTTTCAATGCCAGAGAGCGCCACAGGTGCAGATGGGTTTCCACAAATTGGTCATTCACATTAGTTGTCTCTCCCTCAGTGCGTATGAGCAGCCATTCTAGATCAAACCAAGGGTCCATCTAGTCCAACAGTCCATTCACAAAGAAGCCAACCAGCATCCTGCTTCCTACAATGATGGCGCCACAAGCAGTAAATGAGTGCAACCATATCCTCCCTTCCATGTTCCCCAGCAAATAGTGTGCATAGGCACACAACTGCTGCTGTGAACCATCTAGAAACCTTCAGCTATTGGGCATATAGAAATAAAACGAATTAAAGAAATGAAAGACACGCTGCCTTTGATACTGGAGACCATACATAGCTGTCAGGAGCAGCAGTCATTGATCGTAATAGGGAGTCCTGCTTCTTTCCATCATTGAAGCAGAGCGATCGTGCTTCTCTGAGATGCTGTACAGAAAGATCCCACTCAGAGCATTCCCTCATCCTTTGCCCCAGGATGTGAGAACACCTGATATGCTGAAAGCATGCTGAGATTAGTAGGCCTGAAGGATGACTCACACCCTCATGAGCTTTCTGAGCATGGTGGCCAGTCTTTCTTGGCTGGAATAATACTGGTGAGCAGAATGTTCCCAGAACATTCTCCCATAGCAAAAAATGACAACTTTGTTTTGTGTTCGGCTAATCTCCCAGAGTTGTCCATATAGAACAGGGGTGTCCAACCTTTTGGCTTCTCTGGGCCACACTGGAAGAAGAAAAATTGTCTTGAACCATGCATTAAATACACAAACACTAATGTGCATAATATTCGTGATATCCGCCAGCACAGATAAGCAAGATTCCTCATATAATAATCCTAATTATGTGGCTCTCTGTTCAGACAGTCTTTTAAAATAGTGAAGTAGGCCCTAAGTTTACAATCAATATAGAAAATAAATATATCAAAGGAATAAAAATTCAATGATTTTTAAAAACATTTTTATTATAAAAGTAAAAGAAAAGAGGGCAACATAAAACTAGTGGGATATTTGACAAATTAATGCATCAATATTTGGTTCAGTGGAAGTAGTTGCAATTCTCAGTGAGTTCTCAAGATGCTCATCAGGTATTTTGGTTCTAATTTTATTCTTAATGTGCTTCATTCTTGAAAATAGTTATTCACAAATGTAGGTGCTGCCAAAAAGTGAAGACATGAATAAGGTGTGATTGTGACGTGAGGGATATTTGTCTCTGGCAAGATAGGACCTATGAAAGTCCATGATCAAATTTTTCTTAAAGTTGAATGTCAGATTCCAGCTCTATGCATTTCATTAGAAAATTGGTAGGTAACATATTTATGTTGTCTGAAAATGTAGTAGTTAATATACCAAAATAGTGCTTATTTTCCCAGAAATCTCAAAATCTGTTTTCAGATTATTGTATCAAATCGAAAAGCAAGGCTGCATATTTTTTCATTGTTCACAGGATTGTGTTTAGCGAACATGTTGGAACGTATAAAATTGTTCGCAACAGTAGGCTGAAATATTATTAATAGCTGTGTCTCACTCACCAAGTCACCATGGGCACATGGAACATCTGATGGTGTCAGTTTGACTGCACTTGGAAGATAACATACTGGAAGACATACACTGCCATAAAACTGAAGCCACGCATGTGTACAAATAGTGAGAGCATACATTTGTTTATTTTACGTAACATTGCAACATAACATTGTAGCCTACAAAGTTCATGTTCGAGAAATGCACAATCGAATTACCAAAAAAAAAAATCAAATCACAAAATTCATAATGTTTTAAGTAAGTTTATGATTTTGTGTTGGGCCAGATTCATAGCCATCCTGGACTGTGACCCATGGGCTGTGGGTTGGACACCCATGATATAGAGTCCGATGGGCTTTCACAGGCTTAATATACATATCATGCTTAATGGATCATAGAAATGTTTTGTTTTAAGGACCCATTGATAGATTTTGGAAGTACTGCTGAAGGGCCATATATAAATCTTTAACATATTAAATACTTGAAAAATACAAATAACTATGCATCATTACATAGGAACTTACACATTAGTTTTCGCTTCTCTTCCAAATACAGAATTAATAAAATATTAGTACTATACTTGTTTGTCTTGATACAAACCTAGCAATAAATACATCTGACCAACATCTAAACAGTTTGCTAACGAATGCTAAAAATAGCATGATTCATGGTTTTTGGAATCATAAAACGTGTGTGCAGTATATAATGTATAACAGCCTACAGAAAGTTTGTGAAGGGAAGATAAGTCTATAAGTGTGTGCTCAGTTTTCAGAACATTTTTCAACAGGAAAAAGCAGAAATCCATTTGAACGTATTGTTTAACAGAAAAAAACTTTTTAAAATTTCACATTGGGTTCATATATATCTCTCTGTTTGAAACATTGTGCATTCATTTTCCTGAAGTATAGGAACTTCTATTGTAGTACTCTATTGTAAGAGAACTTCCAACTGAGTCATGGCAATGAAAAAGGTTATTTATCAGATCAGAGAAATCATTTGCTGAAAGGGTGAATCTTCCCATTTAATGCTGATGGCTATTTTGTCAGTGAAAGATCACGAACAGTAAATGCATTGGCAGACCTTCATTTGGGCTGTGCCATTTGGGCTCTGCCTGTAGGTCCATTGGACAGAGCACAATAAGAGACAACGGGCATGTCACGAAGAATGCTAGATTAGAACTCTCCTCCCTCTATTTCAAATAAATCCAGAAGCATTCGGTTTTCTGAGCCTTGAACCTGCAGGCTGAAGGTACAACCCAGATGCAGGTTTCTGAGAACAAGGCTCTGATCTGTGCTCATTTCACCTGATTTTTTTCCCCATACAACTAGGGATGCTTGGGTTTGATCTCATTGATGATCTAAAGAGAAGTGCAGTGACCTGAAGAGAAATACAGTGCGCTGAATACATAAAAATGAAATAACAGAAATCTTCATTAAGGGCTATGGCTCCCAAAAGAAACACTTAGGAAGCCTCATAAAATTATTAATTGCTAGCACACACATACATAACATGCACACAGAATCCAAACTTTCTCCACCCAAAGAATTCCAACAGCACATAATACTATTAAAGAAAACAGTTCTCGACTATGCCATGTTATGCTTATCATGTTGCACTTGTTGTAAGTATTTATTGTTTGTTTATGGTTTGTAAGCCATCCTGGGATGTTTGGTAAAGGATGGGATACACTGTTTATTATTATTACTATTATTATAATAATAGTAATAATGGTCAATAAAGCAAATCAAAATACCTTGACATGGCAATGGCCCTGGCCTTTTGTCAACATACTGAAGGAACACAAATATTAACTGGTTCTTAGGAAGGTGTATGAGTTGCTGCCCAGCCAAAATCTCTCAAGCTGTACATTATCTCTTCAGGGCTGGGGCTGGGTGTCCTTCCAGGACACAAGTCTTTAAGTAAGGCCCTTGAATGGTGTAGGAGTACTAACCCCAGTAGTCTCTTGCCTCTGTTGGTTTCTCTGGGAGCTCATTTGGGTTGATTCTTCTCTTGGCTTCCTCTTAAAACTAGCTTTTGTATCTAGAAAATATGAAACCAACACATAAGGAAAACGTGTGACACAAAGAAAGTGCATTCAATTTCCCCTAAAGTCAAATAAAAACACTGGACTTTGTTCTTGCAAATGCAGAAGCCTTTTCTCTAGCCATGAATGACATGGAATGGGTCCATCTGTCCACTTTCTGGTCTTTTACCTGTATTTTAAGAATGAACAACACCCATAACTGTAGCTTTTGTATGTGTTTCTTTTTTAGAATTACAACAACAGCTGCATGTATGATGGACCTACGAAGATATCCACTAGACGAACAAAATTGCACACTAGAGATAGAGAGCTGTGAGTATTTATTATTTATTTATATATTCTACTTCCTGCATACGCAGACTGATTCAGAGTTCAACCATTTTCCCCCACTTGCTAGTAACCAAGTTGTTTCATTGATCTAATGACATTTAGATTCTTGTCAATGCCCAAAACAAATCTAGCTTTCCAGATGGATTAGTAATTTGTGGCACAAGGATTAGAGGAACTTACTTTGTGAGTTTGATAGACAACGTTCAGCTTTAAAAGTCTTACTCAAATGCCTTTTGCAGTTTACATGAGGAGTACAAGGATTATACTAAGTGCTCTGCTGCTGAATGGGATTGCCATTTATTTCCATTTCTAAAATGAAGGGTTTAGATTTGTCATTGGAGCCTGCTAGCCTTTAGCCAGGTTTTCCATGCAGATGTGAGATTATATGTGTTAGTTTAAATTACCATTTCCTTCTTCTCTGTACAAATTCATAGTATTTGGTCTTTTAGTGTTTACATTGTAAATTCTGCATCTCCTATAGCATCCCATAAAACATTTATGGTAACTTATATAAATCTTGCATGCAGTGAATTAGCTGACACCTTCGGCTGTTTGACTGAATTTATTGAAGGACCAGTGCAGGGGAAAGGGGTGCTTGATGGTCTTGAACAGGCATGTGGTGTTTAGCCCTTAATGCAAAACAAGCAGCTTATGCCTACCCTACCGTTGCTCCAATTCTATTCCTTTTAATCTTGTTCAGGCGAATGACTGTGCCATCATGTCACAGTTCCAAGTGTGTGAGCACATGGCAATGAATTGCTGGAAGAGTGTTTTGGGGAAACCATGATTTTAATAAGCTAGAGAAGCTGTAAATGGACATGAAAGTAAGATCTCCCCCCCGCCACATGCACACACACACAAAATAAACTAGAAATGTTTTCTACACATGCACGAGAGTTGTTATGAATCATCAGTGCAATGACAACATCTGAACAGTTGGCTGAGCAGGGTGGGCTGTTGGACCGAGTGACTTTGTAAATGCACGGATAGGAAGCTAAATGCTCTCAGGTGCTAGTGTGCCGTTTCCTAACTGCCTTATGAAAACCATTCATCTTTCTAGGACTTTGATGGCTTTGCCCATGCTTATTACTGATGAAGTATTTTATTTGTCTATTTATTCATTTTGACATTTGTATGCTGCCCCATACTCCAAGTGGACTCTCCGGGCAGCTTGCAACACTTTTTTTATTCAAGCGGCATTTTAACTGTTAATATTATTGGATTTTATCTGGCCAGGGTGGCTTATTTTATACTGTATTTTTGTATTTTTAATTTAATGTTTATATTCTTGATTTATATTATAATTATTTTAACTAATTGTTGTAAGCCGCCCCGAGGCTTCGGCGAATGGGGCGGCATAAAAATGTTTTAATAAATAAATAAATAAACAAACAAACTGTTCTGTGTGGAACCCTGAGGAACCTCAGGAATATAACCATGCAGAAGAAATAATGTCCACTCTAGCACAAGAATGTGTCCATGGTTACAGCAATGTGATATTGTACTGCACTTAGAGAGCCTTCAGATTAGTATATCAGAATACAAGTTGAATAAATAGCAGCAGCAGCAGCAACTCCTTACCAATGGTGCCTGATGGCTGCCAAGACAGCATCTCTGGAAAAGGGATGCTGTGTTCCAGATGGCCCTCATCATGGGCTACGTCATGCATTTGGTGGCATCTGTGGGCTGCTTAGACCAGTCAGCATGAAGCAGTTTCCAGGCATCTGACTAATTCATTAGAACGAATAGCAGCATCACCCTTTGTATGTGCACATATTGGAAAACTGTGCTGTTTTAAAGTTGGGTCCTGGATGAGTTGAATCCTTCCTTCCTTCTTTTTGTTACAAAGCACAGCTATTTACTCTGCCTAAGCTAAAAGGTACTTTATTTGACTTTATATATTTAAAGTGTAGTTCTGTCATACAAAAATCCCCACACATACTTTTGGAGAAAGTCTGGGTCAGCCCTAGTATAAAGACAAACATATAACTAGATAACACTATTACTCATAAGCTTTAAAAAATCCAGAATAAAGAGAAGACTTCTAAACTAGACTATATGTACCATCTGCAGTTCTTCCAGGTCATCAGTTCTCTGACAGACACTTCTTTTAATTTCCTAACAACTTGTTTAGCTGTTTATATCCATTAGGGCAAACATTAAGGATTGTTTAGCAGAGATTAATTATTGCTTAACACCCTGTACCTCCATGTCACATTCATTAATCCACTTAGTAAACAGGATGATTTTACCCCTGTCTCTTCATAGGTGAAGTGGGGATTCCAAAACCTGTTTCAGATAACGAACAGCAATACATAGTTTAAGATGGAAAATGTCTGCAGAAGGCCCCCATTAGAAAATACTGGTAAACAGAGATTCAGGAAATGGGAATGACTGTTAAGTAAACCATTTTGAATCGTGATAGGGCCAGATTAAGGAATGAGGTCAGCATCACTTGGTTTAGCATCACATGCCCACTACAGAGGAGTCTACAGTCCCGCTGAAGTGACACCTTCTAATGCCAGATCTCTCGCAGGCCTGACTGCAATGCACTTAGCACCCACCACCAGCACCAGCCCTCTCCCAGGTCTCTTCTTTGCTTCTCCCTCAATCTCACCTGGCAGTGGCAACAGGAGTGCTCTTCTCCCACATACTGGAAAGACAAAGCAACAGTTATGACCAGGACTATGTATGTGGCAGCTGGTAGCTACAACTGAGGAGCAGGTACTCCAGATCCAGAAGTGGCCCACTTCTGACAACAAGAAGTGGGCCAAGGACAACAAGATGGTGTTCAGTGCAGATAAGTGCAAGGTCTTGCACTTGGGGCAGAAGAATGGGTGTCATAAGTACAGGTTAGGGGACAAGTGGTTGGAGAACAGCACTTATGAAAAGGATCTCAGGGTGCTGGTGGACCGCAGGCTAAGCATGAGTCAGCAGTGTGATTCGGTGGTCAAGAGGGCGAACGCCACCCTTGGATGCATAGCCAGAAGTGTGGCTTCTAGATTGAAAGAGGTATTACTGGCACTCTTTATGACTCCAGTTTGCCTGTAACTGGAGTATTGTGTTCAATTCTGGACCCGTCATTACAAGAGGGATATAGCAAGGTTGGAATCGGTGCAGTGAAGGGCCACAAGGATGGTAGCTGGTTTGCAGTGTAAGTCATATGAGGAGAAACTGAAGGAACTGGGTCTTTTCAGCCTTGAGAAGAGGAGACTCAGAGGGGACCTGTTTGCAACATACAGAAATGTGAGTTGGTGTCACGCAGAGGAGGGTTGTGAGTATTTTTCCCTTGTGGTAGAAAGCAGGATGCATTCCAATGGAGCAAAGCTCAAGGAACCAAGATTTTGGGTGGATGCCAGGAAGTACTTCCTGATGGTTAGGATCCCAAGGGTATGGAACAGGCTTGCACAGGAAGTGGTTAAAGCCCCATCAGTGAGGGTGTTTAAGGATAGGCTGGACATGCACATGGCAGGCATGTCATGAGTGCAGCCGGCTGAAGCCAGGTGACAGACTAGATGGCCCAGGAGGCCCCTTCTCACTCGCTCTGTTTCTATGTTTCTGTGTAGTTAAGGAATACGAAAGAAGTCCTGTGGTCTCCTGACCCCTAGTCACTGGGGGAACATGGGACCTGCAAAGTGGGAGCTGGGACGCTGAAGGCCAGACCTCCATCTTGCTCTGTTCGCAGCTTGTGTAGGTGTAACGAGGACTCAGAGAAGACAAAAAGGGTCGTGCCGGAGAAGGGAGAGCCTGGAGCTGTCACTTTACACCAATTCCTACTGACTCCCCAGCCTCTTTTCCTCCCACTCAGCACTAAATCCAGGCAGCCAGAAATGGCTGTCTGGAGTGAATGCATGAGGTAAAGCACAGTGGAAGAGAACCGCAGGCATCCTTACTTATCATCCTCAGTGGCTGCATATTATTTTTACAGCTTTTTAAAGTGTTTGCTAGCTGCTGCCTTTTACCAGCTTGATAGTGGCATCTGTAGTTCATTGAGTATTTTGCTTCATTGTTGGAAAAGAAGTAATGGGCACGGAGGTTCTTGGATGATTTGTTCTGATGGTCTTATCATCAAGGAATTGTTTGCATGAATAAGCCCCTAAACATAAAAGCAGAGGAAAAACAAAGTTTGCAGCTTTACATTCAGTTTTAAAATTGAATACATTTATGCACTCCTTTTGAAAAGTAAACAAGCATACAATATTTTGTCCAAAATCTACAAAGCATTAGAACGTGTGGGAATCTTAGATTTTACAACGGATACTTTTTGCAACTTCAGATGTGGAACCAGTCCCGCTGTAACATGCCTCATGTTGGCATGAACATTGTGGCCGTATCCAAGAGTTACTAAAAATGAGCAGCTTGGCACACAAGAGTTGAGTAAGGCCATAACCACGTATTGCACTGTGCAGATCGTGGTCATTATGTAGCCCCTCTCCTGATATAAGCAGCTGGAGGTGGGAAGGCGCTCTGTTTGCTTCCTAGTTTTGTAGCTTTGTTGCCTTTCTGCTTTCTTGTTTCCTTCATGCAATATCCTCGCGTTAAGGATGCTGAGTTTTTCTTGCACTGTATTTTGTAACCAGTGAATGCTACCCCAGAGACCATGTCTATTACATTTTTACAATCAGTAAGAATAAATGCATTCAGCTCGGTAGAGAAAGGCTTGCATCAATTAAACCACAATATCATCTTAAAATAATATGAGGGGAATACAGTAGAGGCAGGCATTACAACAAAAAATAAGTTCAGCTAAAACCATTATCTGCTTGTCAGAGCAAGATCCTTTGCTAGCTGAAAGAAGTTGGTTAAAGAGGGAGGACCATGCAAGCATCATGAAGCAAAACGGGAAGATAGAGGAAGGCCCCTCCACCAGATTCGACGGTGCAGACAGCCTTGCCAGTATCATCCATGCCAGCAAAAAGAGCTTCCTTGAAGTGTCAGGGTCCCTGGTGGGAGGACACCTGCCAAGCATGGAATGGCTACGA